TCTTTTGTTCTGATATAATCAACTTTTTATGGGTCGTTTACAGTCACAGCCACTGAAGAACTGAAATTTCCCTCAGTTTTGTCTTTTTTGTCATCCACTTGGGGTGAGAACACTTTAACAGTAAAATCTTTACTGGATTAGCATGAAACGGAAACAAAAGAAGCCCCATGACGGCTTGTTAAAGACTGCAGCATGACTGGCTTTAACAAAAGCCCCACTACGGGTGGCTCATTTGGAAGACCCAAATACCAGATCTCATTCGCATGGGTTCCTCCCCTTGCAATGTTTTCACGCTACAGTTTTCAGGTCATTTTGCAGACCAAACCAACCTGTGTGTTCTTCTCCTGAGCAGCCACTACTCTACTTAGCAATAGTTTTGATTTTTACAACTTCTCCTTCCCTGTACTGTTTTAGCTTTTAGTTTACAATATTTATGTATTGCTTTCCATGTCTGAAATTGAGCAATTTGTCACAAAAATTTGAAAAAAAAGAAAGGCTGAGCGAGCAGATGTTGAATATCAAAGTTGGTGCATAATGGTCACTTAAAAGTGAGATCAAAGTTTCTAAGTCAGACATGAGATCAGAAAGTGAATGTTTGTCCCGTGGTTTATCCTGAGAAGAAGCCAGTCAGTATGAACTTTTGTGCTCTGTGGTGAGCCCATGCAGTCTCAATGTAATTCACCACAATAAATTACAGTTTTTGTGGGGAAAAAAAGCAATTTCCCAAGCAACTCTGCGATGGTGCCTTTACAAAAACGATCTTGCCTCTTATGTTTGGTGGTATTCTTGTTTTAATAGGTGTGACTCAGATATGTGAATATGAAAAATACCTGTACTAATGGTACTTCTTCAAAAAATGTGCCAGACATCTTTAATTGAAAACCTAAACATGGCAAACAATAACAGGGGGAAAAAAAACAGAATTAGACTGAAAGCCTGGAGAAAATGCAAGATAGTTATTCTATGATCCTACAAGGTGAATAATGACCTTGAGGAGACATATTAAATCTGCTTTTCAACATCAAGAAGATTTTAAAGCACATTGATTAAAAAACAAAAAAAACGTTTTTTGTTTTTTTTTCCTTATTTCCCGGAGGTGCCCAGACCTAATATAAACAGAAACACATATCAAGTAGAACACTGCAATCACAAGCAGGGAAAAGCAAACTCCTTCAACACAAATAGTGAATGCTTCACCACGAGCTCTGCAGCTCACGTGCGCTTCCAGTCCCATGTGATCCTTCACTCTCTACATTCAAGATTTAACAAAACCCCACAGCGCTGCTACTGCATTCGCAGGAGAGCCACGGAGCAGGGGTCCTCCATCAGACGGAGGTCTGATTTTGATTTTCCAAGCAGGGGGTGTCAACAAAAGCCTGGTGGAGAAAAGTTCTGATCTTCCTAAAAGACGTTTGGGAACTGGAAAAAAAAATAAAAAATGAAAGCAAGAAAATCAAGCCGTGTATGAATGGGAGGAACAGGATGAACAATGAACATTTCTAAATATGGCTCATTGTTTATCCAGTCGACTTTTTAGAAGGTTTTGAGCTTCGTGAACCAAAACATTTGTACTGACTGCTTACAATCTAACAGCTGTTACTGCTTATCGTTTCTCCTGTCCCAAGTCACAGTTAAGAACTGATACAAATAAATCTGAAACAGTGACATACTAAATCATTTTGACGCATCAACTCAAGTCACATACTTTCAGCGTCAGCACTTTCGCAGATGCACCCGCTGTCACAAGTAAACAGCTCTGATCACCTCCCAGCATGTTTGCCCCTAGTTGGCTTGGGGTGCGGCTTACCGAGGCCTGCCTGCTTCTAAGCAAAAGGATTATAGAGCGCTGGTGGCCAACAGGTACAGTTCCTGTGCGCTCCATCAGGCGACCTGCTCTATATGGGTTTCGCTCATCTATTTTTGAGTTAAGTGAGGGATAAGGGGGAAACCCCAGGTGATACCCTGGGAGACAGGAATGGAGGCCTGTGACTTTTAAAATATGTAAACAGAAAAACAAGCGTGTGCTTAATCGTTTTAAGGGTAAACCAGGAGTGGGATGACACAATTTCTATTTCTGTTTCATATTGAGATTAAATTTGAAACGTGGTGGAGATGGTGTACTAAGGTGACAGCTGAATCCAAATGGTTGTGCTATATTTAATTTAGAGGTGTCAGAATTAAGGGGGCTAATTACCAATGCATTCTAAACATTTCAGACTTATTCACAAATGAAAACTATTTTTCCTTCCATGTCCCACTTATGGTCAACTTTGTTAGTTTATCCCACAAAATCCCAACAAAGTACACTGATCAGACAAAATGTGTACTCCGTGTGCTGTTGAAATGCTAAATATAGCTTTAATTGAAACACTATTAAGACCATAAAATGTGGGTCTAATAAAAAGGTTTGGCAACGTATAAATCAAAACGGTAAAACATTTTGAGTCAGATTGTTTTCTCATCTGCTCAGAGAGCAATACATTTTTCCTCAGCTCTAAATCTAAAGTTGAAATAGATGCTTTAAGGCCAAAAATGATAAAAACAAACAGTTATTTGCTCTGAAAATTAAACTGATTGAGTTGCACAGAAAATTACGATAAAGAGAAAACCTTTCACACAAGGTTTACCTCTCAAATTCACAACAAAAGCAGGAGCCCACCCCACTGCCACGCTGAGAAATACAGCCTTGATGTTATTTCTCTCCTTGTTTATAGCTCCAAGCGTAAGAGAATTGAAGCCTCGGCTTCCTTTGCAATCTATTCAATCCTGCAGGCTCAAGTCTGAAATAAGGCCAAGTGACAGCTTTAAAACCTTTCAATAAAAGGGTGAAGCAACTAATCTAGCCCCCCTACAAGGTCTGTTCCTTGTGAACCCTCACAAGACCTTCACTTTCTCCTACAAATGACCAAATCTTCTCTGCACCTAATAACCTCCCCTAAACACACAGCAGTTCCTGGGTTTTTGAGGCCGAGAAAATTGACGTATTTAAATTGCAGATGTATTTTATGATTGTTGACATCAATAACGCTAAAAACAGAGCAGTGGTCAGTGGGGGAGCAAACAAAAGCAGGAAAAAAAAAAAAAAACTCTCACAAAAGTTGAAAGAGGCCAACTACTGGCAGATAGATCCAGATAAAAGAAAAACAGAAAGAAACAAGCAAAGGAGCAGAGTAGACAATATGAGAGGGTAATCTCAGGTTTTCAGTATTGATTCAACCTTATCTCCCTGCCCCCTCAGTAACCTCAGCTGGATTGGACACCCAGCCACAAAAAAGCAATATGACCCCCCCACTGATGCCCTCTTAGGTCACCGTTTAGTGACTGCTGACTTCTGGTTGCCTTGGAGACAGAAAATTACATGTGAGACCTGGGTGGTCGTGTGGATGGAGGTTGGATCTGTGCTGAAATCTCAGGTTGCAGTTTCATTATGAGGACAATAAATAAAGTGCTGTTAAGCATTGTTGCTCCTATAAATAATGTTGGGATTTGATCCCCACGACTGCAGAGTTGAAATCTGCCGTAACGTTTGGGTGTTTCCATTTAGTGTTGCCACCATGATAACGTGTTAAAAAGTAATTGCCCTGAGCACTAATAACTAGTTTTTAGCAACAACTGCCATCAAGAGTTTGAATAACTGTTTCACATCATTGTGGGGCTCCCTTGTCTCTTTCCCTCCTTTTTATTTGACTCATTGTTTGAGATGGATGCCACAAGTGCATAAGAAATGTTGGTTAATCCAACTACCGCCACAATTTAGACATTTTGGCAAACATCTTGAAAGTCGGTGGATGATTTAACTGATTTTTTTGTTCTTGTTTGTTTCATTTCAACTTGCATGTACAATTTTAACTTTACGAGCTGAAGTTAAAACTGTTGTGTTTAGGTGTGTCTCGGAAATTGGAGTTTTCATTGCAAATGGGAAGACCATTGGAGTTCTCTTCGTGTGATATTAGCATTAGCATTATTATCCAATCTGTGAGTTAATAACAATGTATCTCACTTTCCATTTCACATTCAAACAATTCTGTACATTCATGCGAACTGTAAGTACTGACTGATATTTCCACATCTTACATGTGTGGCACCCACATTGGATATTAACTTTAAGTCTGCTCTAAGACCTCTGTTATCCTGTCCACAATTCTTCTGGGTACATTCTAGTTATGTATCCAACCTGGAAACCTAAAAATAATAATATAAAATAAAAAAAAATGCATATAAGGCCACTCAGGGTTTAATTTATAAAATTATCTTTTTCAATTTATGGATGAAATTTAAAAGGTTTATTGCTTATCTCATGCATAAGGAGACTTTTTTTTCGAAACAACAGCCATGCCATTTACGTGTATTATCTGGGTTGGGTCAAACTTTTGAATCTCAGTGGCTTTTCTCGACTTCTGGCTTAAGCATTTGCTTGTCTGCGATGTCTACAACCTAGAGAAAGCAGGAAGTCTGCACAACATGTGTCAGAAACATTCAAAGAATGTTAAGTGTGAATGAGCCATGTGGGTCCTCTGGTTTGCTCCACTGCTTGCTGAGATACTGCCAAACACAAAACAGCACCTCGATTCTGGACAGATACAATTGTAGAATATTTGGGTGTTTAGCTTCATCTGACTGATACTGTTGCAAGAGGCATATCTTAATGCAAATTTATTCCAGCACCAGCTGCTGTGTCAAGATGATTCTGCAAAAGACACCCTTGAAACTTCTAATGAGCTCACCGCTGTGAATAAAGAAGACAAGGAGGTCACAGAAGTTAAAATATGTGCCTGCTTTTCTGGGTCTCTCCAAGTGTGTGTCGCTGCAGTCACGTGTGAGCAAGTGGCTCGACTTCCTGGATGCCTGGCTGGAGGCATGCTACTGGATAACAAGCTGTTATGGCATCATTGTCAGGTGAAAATAAGATGCAGCACCCACACACACACACACACACACACACCAACACACACACGCATACACATTTTGGTCTAAAATGTCTAACCTTTTATTTTCCACAGCTAGACATCCCATCTCTGAATGCAGTTTCAGACCTGCTACAAATACCAGTGTCTTTGTGTGACATCAAATGAGAAATGTGGCATTCAGAAACCCATTAGTGCACAGGAGTGTAAAGCAAGCAGTAAGGGGTACTGTTCTGTGTTTTTTCCTCATGAAAAGTGAGTTTCATAACACTCACATCCCCTTTAAAAATCACTCTCTGTGAATCTCTGAAGCCGTTGATACATTTTTCTCCTGGTATTCTGAACCAGCGTGGACGGACCACCATCAGGCCGAGGTGACGGCCCCAGGCAGCAGCTACCAGCACGCTGCCCTTTCATCTTTGCTCATCTGGTTTCACTCCCGTTCACACCTTGATTCATGTTATTCCAACATTTCTCAAGTTGACAACAACTTACTGGGTGGGTCCTTTCGGCCTCTATCCTTCTACACACAGTCTCAAAATTTCTAATATGCATTTTACCTTGACTGGTTTATAACTCTCTGCAGCTCTAATGAGGGACTTCACCATTGAAAAATGTGACTCATTTTCCCAAAGAAACGCCGCTTTAAATCCCCTGAAACCATAAGTTTGAATTTATTTCCACATTTTGTGACATAACAACCAGGGACATCAATGTATTTGGAATTTTATGAGGTAGGCAAACACAATATAGTGTGTACTTGTGAAGTGGAAGGAAGGTGATAGCGTCCTATAAGTGCCAACAAAAATCCAATTGATTTGGTTGGCACTGCAGAGGCAGGGCATGAAAGCTGAGGGTCGCAAATGCTCCACATGCAACCTAACTTTTTAACAGAGAAGGTCTGTAGGGAGGCTCAATGCAAAAGGATTTTGCACTTTTCAGATATTTATTTGTAATTAAAAAAAATAATAATAATAATAATACATACAGTAAGACATTGCGCAGCAGAAAAGGGGGTCCTGATTTGGTTCTAGGAAAGGTGTTCTCAAATCTTTAAAAGGTTTGAGTAACACTACTTTGAAATAGCTAGTCTGATACTTTAACACCCAGTACTTTTTTCATCATAAACCCCAGTCATTAGAAGTGAAAAAAAAAGCATCTTTAACAACCAAAAAGTTAACTGCAGTTAATTTATTTACTCAGAATAACCTATTTTCTTTGAATGCAAAAAAACAGCCCTGGGTGGTGCACATTAACGTGACAATAAAAGCAAAATACAGCAACAGATTTGAAACTGCAACAATTAGTTGCAGCAGTGAGCAGACAACAGAAGGTGGGAATCAAACTAAACGGATTGTTTCGTCTCCAGTGGGGGAAGGGAAGGGCACAGTTGTCCCTGTGATGGCCTCGTTTACTGCACCACAAATAGTAAAAACGGCCATAATTCAGGGCTTTAAGGGCTTTAAGGGCTAAATGGTCATTGGGCGCACATTTTGTGAATATAGTGAAAGAACAGCATGTATTTCTTGTTAGCTGCAGTTTCGTAGAGACTCCTTCAGATCAAGTTAACCCCGGAGGGAAATATCCATTTCATTAGTTTCTTTGTGCTCTGCTGCAATCACAGTAACCTTACACGCACCCTCTATAGCAGAAGAATTGACTTACTTGAAGAGCTTTTGAAAAATAATCTTGCTTGTGTGAGCTTTTGATTTTAAATAAATCATTTATGGTCACCTAAAAACGAAATGGTGATAGCACATTTTTTCATACGGCTCTTAGAATTTATTCAGTCTCCAAATTTACAAAAATGTACAGTTTTTATAAACACTTGAATCAAAGCAGCTGAAACTTAACATCTGCATGTGCTGATAACAGGAATGTGCTTTCTTTAGGTGAATTATTAATACTGTGAAACCACAAAACACTGCTTCATGTCGCATTATTAGGGAACATCTGCCTTCTGTCCAGCACGCACACTTAAGCACTGAATAAATATTTCAGAGAGGATAAAAAACAGCCTTTCCATGAAAGCCAGTGATGGTTTTCTTCACCAGAATCCTGCCATATAAATGTGTTGGTTCTTGTTGGAAATCGTCTTTAAATCTGGCATAAACAAGCACTTAGTGATGACTAACTGCTGTCAATGTCAAATCATTAAGCTCGGCTTTCAGCGACTGCACCACCAAGAAAGTCAATACTGCTTCGGTGTTATGAGCAAGTCCATTTCTGCTGATCCCTGAAAGACAGTTTGTAAATGGTCTTACTCTGTTGGCACAAATTGCTCTCCTTCGGAAAAATAAGGGGCTCATTAAGCCTGGAAGTGTCCCAACACTGAGAGCATCTCCTTGGGGGTAATGTCAACAATCCCTGAGGAGAGAGTTCATCTCTTCCTATTTCGACTGTGTTTCACCGTCTTCTTCCGCTTCAGGATCATCTCGTAGAGTTTCTCCAGGCCCGTTTGCAGCCCCTGGCCGTCCACAGCGCTGCAGCCCTGCACTTGGTACAGCGTGTAGATGCCGAGTTCGTGCACGGCCAGCAGCTTCTCCACCTCGCCAACGGACAAGGCTGAGTCCAGGTCCTGTTTGTTGGCCAGGATCAGCACCGGCACCCCCTGGTTCTCGGAGGTGCGGGTGATCTTATGGAGTTCCACCTTAGCCTCCTCCAGACGCTCCAGTTCGGTGGAGTCCACGACAAACACTATCCCGTCCGTTCGACGGGTGTAGGACTTCCACAGGGGCCGGAGTTTCTCCTGGCCGCCCACATCCCAGACCTGGAAGTTTGTGGTCCGGGACGCTCCCACTGCCACCTTGATCTTCTCTGTGTTGAAGCCCTTGGTGGGGATGGTTTTCACAAACTCCTTCAGTTTAAGCCTGTAGAGCAGGGAGGTCTTCCCAGCCGAGTCCAGACCGATCACCACCACGTGAAGACACTGGAAGCTTGGCAGGAACGATGTGTTGGGGGCAATATCAGTCAGCTGGTTCCCCATGATTCGAACCAAGAATTCGCACCCACTGAGGAGAGGTGGCAGATTCCTGATTTAATCCCTTCTCACTTGCAGCTCCTCACAGGCAGGCGGGACTAGTTGATGACCTTATCAAAGCAAAGAGAGAGAGAGAAAGCTTGGTTAACATTTAATGAGAAGATAAGTTCAGCTTGTTTGAAATGTGAGGAGTATTTCAATGTCAAACAGTCAACGAAAGTGGAAAAGTTAGGAATTCAAGATCTGATGTAACTTTATCAGATCACTCTATCATTCGACTAGAAAACGAAGTTCTCAAGGTTTACATTGACTTTTAAAAGCTTCTGTCTATTTGTCTCACATTGCAACAAACTTTAATTAGTTGTTTTTTTTTAGATTTTATTTAATAGATTAAAGAAACCTAATTAATAAGTGAGAAATAAAGAAAAAAAAAGATAAAAAAATTGTATTTGCAAATAAAATCTGAAAAGTACAGTGTGGATTTGGTATATTTTCACTTGGACACCACTAAATGAAACTCAGAGGACCCACTGAGTCTTAGTAACTACGCGATTAATAAACAATGTTCATAAGTGAAAATGCCACATTCTCACATATGGACAAAATGTATGTTCATAGATTCTCTTTGTTCAGTCTAAGTGGGCTTTTGAATTATTTTGCAAAGAGGAAAGAGCAAATATTCAACTTTGCAATAGCACAAAGCCGAGAGTACTAAGCTAAGATTGCAGCAAAATAAAACATACATTTAATTTGTATATGGACATGAAAGTACTCAACGGTTTTCTGAATTTTTTTATGTCTTTTCACACGCAGTATTCTCTGTTTCTGCATCACATCAAATCCCAATGAGGTCACTGTTCTAACGGGACACGAGGAAAACTTGGATGCAGTATGAATACTTTACTCAGCTCAAACTGGATTCACCCATAATGCCATGGAGATTAAGCTATATGAAATAATATCCATTTGAGTATTCCGTCCCGCATTACAGAGCCAAACAACAGTTAATTGGGCGTCTGTGGTTGTTTTAGAGTCTTATTTGCCCTGCCTAATCCGCTTAAGGCGGTTAAAGCAGAAAGGCTTTTCCTCCAGGCTGATTGATTGCAATCCAGGGGAAGCAATATGTATCCACAGCTTCCCTTTGCTCACTGAAGCCGCAGCGGCGGCGGCAGCAGCTCTATCTAATCCGGTTGTTGTTGACATCCTGATACACATCACACAGCTGCCTCTGGACAGCCTACAGCCATTACAAGTGGACAACAAGGCAGCGTTGTTCTTCCAGACCCTACATTGATCATTCCAGGGTTAGTTTTAAGAGGGTGACGGAGAAGACGCAGGGAAGCAGAGAAATTGCACTGTCATTTTTCTGATCTGGTCTGATGATTTTGACCCCTGACTGCATTTAATTGTAAAGGTGAGAGAGCGGTCTCCTTCGTCTCTTCCGATAGAACATCCCCATCCAGTCAGGTGCCTGTTTATTCTTGTTATAAAGCGAAAAATAATCAGCTAAGCAACTTCAGCGGTTTATCTTATATTTTCTGTAAGCTAAAACCGCAAGCACGACTTCCAGCTTTAAAATACGAGCTCGCGCTGACGCCAAAAATAATTATGAACGTCCATACCTGATAAAATGCTGGGAGGAACGTTCATCCACAGCCGAGAAACAATTCTTATTATTTTTTTCCCCTGTGTGTGCTGCAGCCGTCCAGTCGTCTCTCCCTCTGCTGCTCCTCTCTGACTGAGGAATCCTGGAGACTCTCAAGCGAAAAACCACCTTCAGCCCGGGTGACGTCACGGACACCTGGAGGGCTGCTCCGCGCCCCCTGCAGGCGGAAACAATGAACTGCAGGGCAAGATGAGGCGCTCACATGGCCTGGTTTATATTTTTCCATTAGTGCTTATGAGATGAAGATTAAAGTAACAAACAATTAAAATACAGAAAGAAAAAAAGTGCTGTAATGCTTCCATCACATTGTTTTGCAGTGGAGATGAATGTAGATTGATATGCTACTTTTACAAAACAAAGAGATGTGCATGTACCAAAAAGGGAAACCAAAAGTTCAATTTTTGTCCCATTGCTGAGAATAGTCATAGAGTAGTCAAGTTTATACATAGATTAAATTTCACACTCTGTAGGAGACTTCTGATAGCTTTCCGAGAGAAAAGGTACAAGAGTAAAAGAGACACAAAAGCATATATTTTTTAAATGTTCAGAAACCATGAGCCATTGACATCCTGATACACATGAGCCATTCTACTTAAATTTCAGCTGTTCTCGTTTTTGTGTTTCCAATAACATACATACAAGCCCGTGTTGTAATAAAGTTCAAGGGTTACAAATACTTTTGTAAGTCACGCAATTGTTTTTCAAAATTATCCTAGTATGCACTTGAAACACAATAAATATGATTGCTCTGTTTTAGATTTCCCTCCATCAGAACAAGAAAACCTTTACATAAAACTTCTGTGGATCTTTCTAATGTACACAGAATGGGATTTCCATCACTTTTTTATAATGAAAATGAAATTTATTTAAGTGAATAAGAAAAATAATTTTAGAGGATAAACATGAGTTTTTGTGTACAAAGAAATTAATTATCAAAGAAAAACAATACAGGGAAAAGAAGATTCTGTAGAGGAAATTAAAACTTTATATTTACATAAGAAATAAAGTGGTATTTATGTAACTCTCTGAGTCTCTGCATATTATATACCATGTACCCTTTTAACAGCACTATTTAGTAAAGAATATTGTACTCATGAGCTATCTGTAGCTTTGGCTCCACCTTGTGGCAAGTGTACTTAAAAACAAAGATAAGTAACAGAACTGTCCAAACTTTGGCTGCATTCCCAATTATTTTTTGTTTATCGTCATGAAAAACTAAAACCCGATGCTCTTGCATTGCATCTCATTGCATCACAAAGAAAGGAAGTAAAGAAAGAAGGAAGGAAACAATCTGAAGGAGCCTTGGATAAATATCACAGTTTAATAAAGTGCAAATGAAATCAGGATTAACAGAAGTCAACTCTGATACGAAACAAATAATTAAAATACAAAAATTGAAAACAAGAGCTTACGTAATCTGTGATAAAATATGGCTGTGGCTGATTAAACACTTTTGGACAGCTAAAATAATATAGTGATATCATTTTAACAGTAATAAATCACATTACAAGGATGAAAGAACAAGTTCTGTGTTTTCATGAGAATTTTATGATCTCACGGGATGTGGTGTGGTTGAATTATTCCCACAATCAATGTACTCGAAAACGTCCTGTGAAAGCTGCTCCGTGTGAGACAGATAGGCAATGTTCATGGTTATTCTGGGTGAAAAGAAAAGAAAAAAAAAAACATGAATGTCAAAAATCAATTAATAATTTTAATCATATTAAACTGTTTTAATATGATTAAATCTATCTACAGTCTTGAAAAAATATGCCAACTTAACTATCATTTTTCAGCTTTTTCCTTTTTTGGTCATAATTAAAAGTTTTAAATCATCAGAGAAATGCTCACATTAGTCAAAGTCAACCTGACTAAATCCCTGTTTTTGTTTTATTTAACAGAGCCACACTGGAGACTTCTTTAGTCATCACCAGAATCTTTAAGATCTTCCCACATGCATTAGTTGGACTGAAGTCCAGACTTGGACTAGGTCACTGCCAATCATCCAACCTATTTGCATTAGTAACTCAGAGGTGAACTTGCTGGTGGTGTTCTAAAGATCAGAGTCCCAATGTGAGATTGAGCTTAAGGTCACAAACAGGTAATTACAAATTCTTCTTCAGGATTGTCTGCCAGCCAGCAGAATTCATGGTTCCATCAATTACAGCAAATTATCTAGGTCTACAAGAAAAAAAGCAGTACGAGTCCATCACACCAATGCCACCATGTTTAATTGTATGTATGATGTTATTTTATTAAAATGCTGCATGAGATGTTATGGGAGATACATCTTCAAAACCCTTCCACTATTTTCCATTCGCTTCACAGACAATTTCCCTGAAAGTCTTGTGCACCATTAAGATATTTCCTGGCAAATGTGAGGCAAGATCTGTTGGATCAGCAGTGGTTTTTTTATTTGGACATCCCTCATGGATGCTGGTTTTAACCCATTTACAATTTTATTAATCTGCTGAATCATGAATGTTGACCCTAACTGAGATCTGCAGCACCTTGGAAATCCTGGGCAAGTTTTGATGGACTCTTGCAGTAATTTTGGCAGCCTGACCACTATTGGGATGGTTCACCTTGGCTAAATTGTTTCTCTGTAGAAGTTAATGGCTCTGATTACGGCAGAATGGAATCCCAAAGTCTTACAAATGGCTTTCCTGACTGCATAGACATAAATGACTTTATTTCTCATTTGTTCTTGAATTTCTTTACATCAAGGGATGATGTCTTTCTTTTTTTGTGAGAAATTGTGGTCCACTTCATGTTGTCTGACAAGTACTACAAATGTTATTTCTTAAATCTACAAAACAGGCAGCAATTGGGTCTAAGTGTAGATAGTAAAAGGAGAAATGAAAAGAATATGGTTCATCATAGGTTATTCCTGGGTTGATTAATTTGTTGCACAGGGCCAGGTAAGTTTGGATAGAAAACATTGCATATGTTCAGATATAAAACAACACTGTTTATTTGATTATTTTCTTTGATATTGCTGCTATGAATGTGTACAATTACACCCCTACTCATTTGAGTAATTCAAGTCAAAAAAGTAAAAGTACACCTTCTTAACAATTTCTTCAATTTTCACTTTTGTCCTCTGAAAATGTTTGAGAATGTGAAAACATAGGCCAGGTATATACAAAATACAGTTTTCATATGATTATTATATTAAGATATATATTAAGATAATAATTTTCTCATTCTCCACTGCTCGTCTAAATTTGATGCATGCATTTGCTTCTGAAACTCGAATGAAAGGAGTCTTGTGGTAAAATGCTTCTGCTAAATGGAAAAGCAGAAGTGGCCTTTTATTCCCCCCAGGGCAAAACTGAAGAGACATTTAAAAATGCCAACCATCATTTTGTAGCTCAGATTTTTTCATCCTTTCCTTATTTCTAAGAACACAAAAGCAACTCTGAGTTACACTGTCCTTGCTTGCTTTCTGAAGACAACATTATAGATTTAAGGATTTGAAGATAGGAACTTTATCTACATTGGCCCTTTTTATGGCTTTGGTTTGTCACACAGCTGCAGAGAAGTGTTACATTTTTGAGATAAGCTGACTGGCCTGCCTCTTTGGGTTGATTTTGACATTGAGATTGAGACTTACTGCAACTTCAGGAACAACGTGTGGATCTTGATAGTACTTGACTTGCAGTAATTGCTGAAAGAGGCAAACACAAAGCGGTGACATCTGCTGAATCCACACATTCAGACAATAGAAAGTGGGTGTAGATTGAGAGTTTTCTTCAAATGTTTCTGCAACGTGGTGAAAATCAAGTTTTGTTCTTACTTTAAGCCTGTGTCTTCAAGCAGCAGGTTGATTTGAACAATGTACTGCAAAAACCAACAAGCAGGTAAGAAACTTGTGAGACAAATAGAGGACCGTGTAAAAAGTATAGGTCGTCCTTATTTTCGTATTTAACCCCTTTAAATTAGATTTTCAGTGCAACCAATTTAAATATATATATATATATAGTTTTGGGATGGGATATATATATATATATATATATATATATATATATATATATGTGAGTGTGTATGTGTCTTAAAGAACAAAAAATAATAAATGCCACTGCATATCACTAGCACTTTTAGCCTGGGTGACACTCACCGGTTTTTGTGATCGAAGCTGTATTGCCGTCATGTTGGTTATTTTGGTATGACCCGCCACAATTTCATTGACCACACCCTGCATGGAGAACTCAGCAATCTGAACCGGGACAAAGTTCTCGTTGGTCATGTTGAAGAGATTCTGGAGCAGAAAACATGCAGTCAGTAGAGAGAGAAACTGGGACAAGTTTTGCACAGCTATAAAAGTGTCGGGACTTTACCCACCATATAACACCTGCTGTCTGTCATGTGAATGCCTTCCACGTCTATCTCACATTAAACCTTAAAACTATGACAGCTTGAGAAGCCTGTGAGGCGCATGTTTAAATACAAAATCAGAAATTTAGCTACAATATGCTTTGGTGTAGGAAAACACCATTCAGACTTATTTATCAAAAAGAAAATAAAGCGCAGTGTATGCTTTGGAAACCATTGTCTAAAGAAAGGCTAAGGCTAACTGTTGGGAACTTGCAGCTGCTGGTCAACAATGTTTTATCAAATCTAAAGTTAGAGCAACTGTTCAGAAACAAATTTCTAAGCACTTCACACTTCCTTTTACTGTCAAACTTAACCTATTCTCAACAAGTCAGGTGTTGAGGAAAGCAACCTCTGTTATGTCATGTTCACGCCATGCTCTTCTTGGAGGTTTTCAGCTGCTTCTCTCGGGTCACAAAGCTAAAAGTGCATGCAGAGAAGACCAAGAGGGTCTCTTTTGCACCTGCTGCTATTGCTGTGGTTAACAACATAAAACCATTAGCAATGTTTCTCATGATATTGTCTGTGATGCTGGTTGATAGTATTTGTTGTTTGATGAATGGGCACGCAGAAAATCAACTCCCTACCAGAAATAAATACTTGAATCATAACTTGCTGTGTGTAGTAAATCTAGAGTTTCCTATAGTTTCACTTTTTAAATTGCATTACTGAAAAAAAAAAAAAATCTGCCTTTTTCCTGTTAGTGTGGGTGGCTGGAGTTTTGTTGTCGCCATCACTTACTTTGACCTCCATTTCGACAGAGTCCGGTGTGAAGTAGACCATGACTGACAGCACGGACACAGGCGTGAGCGTGACGCTCCGCGGGAAGAAAAAGAGGATCAGGCCGCAAAGAAAAATACTCAAACCCATGGAGATGCACACATACAGTTTCCTGAAATCCAAAAACAGGCTTTATTAGCATCCAGGAATAAACATGAACCTAATGCTGAAACATTTAAATGGTGTATCGCGTACGTGCGTCTGGGTTGCAGCCGCACATCATTGCATGGTATTACTGCCAGGAGCTGATCTTGCTGGCCTGTCGGTACAACAATAATAAGGGGAATATAAAGTTTTGTTTTTACTGGACATAATGGAGAAATGAAAGCACCAAAACAGTTATGGTTTCCTTTGTTGCGGAGAGGGAAATGAAAGCATTTCATTCCAGCTAGCTACAGCAAGAAACAGATAACAGATAAAACAACTGAACAAAGATTTTTTGCTGGAAAAGTAAGACCAACCTCTGGGAATTCTTCCGGTGCCTTTGCATGTTGGGCAGCTGTCGCTAGAGGAGCCTCCATTGATACTGCCGTACTGAGGAACCTGTTTGAGGTTTTTGGCGTTCTCCATCGTTTTTGTTATCTCAGGATTTACTCCTATCCTGTTGCTGTGCCCCGGTGGCGCCATGACCCTTTACTAACAGACAAAGTCCATCTTAAACAAGACAAACAAGAAACTTAACCAAAAAAAACAAAAAAACAGCTGCATCAGGTCCTACTCTGTTACATATTCAACCTGATTTCCCCACAAAACCTTTAAACGTCATAAAAGGTCATTCCTCCAGCACATGTCAGACCTTATGACGTAAATGGATGCAGAAGGTGCCCAGGAATCTTGTCGACAAAGCCAAGTATACATCTTAAATTATTTGATAATTGTTTTTCTCCTCTTAAATGCATTCGCTTTCAGCCCCTTTTACTCTAATGTCTCTGACCAGCTGAGACACAAAATCAGACTTTCTGTGCTATTGCTTAGCACAGAAAGGGCCAAGGAATAGCCTTAGCCCTGGAATAAGGCTATTCTTTAGCCTGGAATAAAACCTGTTGAAAGTTGTGAAAGAATTGAAACTGGGAAAAAAGTTTCCCTTCCAACAAGGCAATGAGATAAACACGCAGAGATACAACGTTGAAAATAGATATTCATTGATGTATTCCATTTAGTCTGACCAAACTTGAGCTATTTTGCAAATAAACAATTTCAAAACCTTTGGCCTCTATGCATAAAGCCAATAAGGCCATACTCCAAAACTGCAACTGTTATTGCAACTAACACTAGTTCCAACTAGTCTCAAGTGGACTGACACAAGTTGGAACCAGGTTCCAGTTGACAGCAGTGTATTTTTTCTTTTAGCAATTAGGTCAAATCCTAGTGGAGTCTATCTGCATTGAATTCAAACCCTACCTTTGCATACAAAGGTAAGGCATTCCTTGTATGCAAAGGTTCGCTCCAAGAATTGCAGTGCATGTAGGGTTAATTGATCTCCAAATAACAGAGTGCAACAGCAAGCACGGAGTGACTGCACATGCATTAGAGCAATAAGCAAAAATCTGTGGCATGTACAACTTCAAGATAAGTTATAATTTTTGTCTTACGCTTGTGCACAGCCCCGTTTTAATATCACCCTGAGCAACAGCCCATTTCAAAAATAACTAATGCATAGATTAAAAAAAGTCTGTGTTAATCTAGGATGAACTGACAACCAATAACCACTAGAGATAGGCTCCATACCCCTCTAATGACAGTTAGTGTTTCTTCCTTCTGTATTACATCTTCATAAACGTAAGGTTTATGTAGTTATTACATTTTACTGACAAGTAAAAAATAAACAAGCAGACAAGTTGATTGAATCAAAGCTTTTTAACTTGTGCTGGACCAGACTTCATAAAATAACTTTTATCTGCAGTTCTTCTGTTGATGGGAACTTCAGGAATGTGAGCTGGCCTACAAACAACAAAAGTTTCAGTTCTTTCATATTCCATAATGTTATGAAGTCATGTTTTATTCGAAGAAAGGCTCTTATGCTGGTTAAATGGCATGATCTCCCTCCAGCCGCACGCAGCATGACTGTCATTTAATAAGACGGACTTTTATTCTCACCTTCACAACTTGGCTGCTGCAGCTTCTGATTCCAAGCTGGTGTCCAGAGTGAATTCATAAAACGTCTGCCGTGTCAGTTCTCCCTTTAAAAAAACGCATTTATTTTCTCCTTTGTCCCGTCAATGCAACCAAAACAGCAAAGGAGAATTAACTTCCTTCTTCTCACTTCCTGTATTGAGGATCACATGGGGGCGGAGTTGTCCACTTTTTTTTTCCTTGTGTACTTAACAGTGTTACGCCACTACGTACGGGGGATTGCGCAATCCCCTCTTTTTGATGGAAAAGAAAATAAAGGAAAAGAAAAACAAAAAAATAAAATATCTATAATTTTTTAGGTTCAACTCTTGGTGTTTTTAAAGTCACTTTTTGAAACATATTTGGCTTTTAATAATGCGACAGTCAGATGCGTTTGTTGAGCTTCTTGTTTTTTCCATTTCTACTGGGATCGTATTTTCTTTTATGTTGGATCTACTGTTATTTTTCTGTGTGCAGCACTTTGGCAAAGTTACAGTCGTACTCTAATGTGCTATATAAATACATGTGATTTGATACTAAAATGCCCTAAAATACATTAACCAAAGCCAAGTTGTGTTGCCTAAACTAACTGTTAAATTAAGTCGAAATAGACATAAAATAAGTTGTGCTAAACTAAAACTAACCATGATAAACCCATTGTATTAAACAAAGGAATTTCAACTTGAGAGACAGAGGGTAAAACAATTTATGGTAAATTCCTCTGAATTTTTTTTTTAACCCATGCTGTATTTAACACCACCCTAAAAAATTATGGATCATATTAAGCACTGAGATTTGCTAAACTGACAAAAAAGTAACAGCGGCGACTTTGATCCAGCCATTCCCACCGTCGTGTTTGAATAATTTACAACTCAGTAACTCAAAAATGAATCTTAAAGGATTTATTTTCTGTACCAACTTTCAGACCTACATCTCTAGATTTTCAGTGTGGAGGTGGAAAGAGACAGATGGGCAAAGAGTTTATTGGCAGATTGGGAGAAGAGTATTTAAAGTGTACACTCTGTTGCAAAAGAATAATTTGACAAGCATGGCAGATATATTCAAAATTACTCTTAAGAGCATGTTTTTTTTTTTTTTGGTTGTTTTTTCTTTTACTTGAACAATTGTAAACATAAGAAAACGATGGTTCCTAAAATGCTCAACCACACACATACACAAAGTTAAGTCCAGACACACAACACAATGTCAGCTTACATGACAAGCATGTTTCGGTAAAATAATGATCATTGCACACGAGAGGCAACACAATCAAATCAAATATACTTGGGTCCATAAGCTTGAGGAATGTGTTTTAAGAGACATCTCAGTTTAATTAGTGCTAACTGAAAGTTGCTGGGTTTCACTTTGAGCTTTTGACCAATACAGGCAAGGGGGGGATGATAAACGATTTCACAGAGCTGTGTTTTTTGTTTCACTGTGAGTGTGCTAAGACCACAAGAATATGACTCATCTCTAATAGCCTCTATTCATCATGCAGGTGTCAAAAAGCATCCAAATCTGAACAGTGATCCGTTCTGAGAGTTTGGTTTACATTCCACATGTCAACGTCTAAAATAACAGTACTCTGATACAGAAGAAGATTGCATTGTTAGGCAAATTTCACTACAATAATTAAAGAAAAACAAAACAAAAAACTTAAATATCTATTCTCATTACTGCACTCTGACTCTTAACCCATGCAGCATCAGTAGCATCAGTTTACTCCAGAGCTAGCTTTCCTGACCCGGTACGCCTCACAAAGTTTCATTTTCACCTCTACATATCAGCCCGACCATAAGAGAGCACAATTATTTTACAGCGCTGAGGAAGCAGCTACGTCAGCCATACGAACACAGGGATGAGGAAATGATGGAAAAACACTTTACTCATCGATATTTCAGTTGTCGCTCATTTTCGACCAACACATACAGCTCAACGGCCCAGATAAACAAAGCTACCAACAAGAATCATTTACAAGAAGGTGTACAGTAAATGGCTAATTTGAAGAAAGCGGTAAAGCTAAATTAAAATGGGAAAGAGAAGCCATTATATATATATTTTAAATTTTTCTTTCATATATTTGGAGACAAAAGTGTAGTGTAGTGTTGAAAAAGCAAAGAAAACAAAAATCCAAACAACAAGACATTTAAAAGCCCAACTCTATAATTACTCTTTTTAAATTAAGCTCAAAAGCTGAAATAATTCTTTCCTATGAGTCTAGGCGCCTTCGCAAAGCTCGGCGTCCGCTCATTGCGGAGGGTCAGCAGCTTCGTTCTGGCTTTCCTCGGCCATCTGGACCAGCTCGTTGACGGTGTGCAGCAGGTTGTAGCCGTGCTTCCTCAGCAGCTGCTGGTTGAGCCGCTGGTCCTTAAAGCCCATCTCCAGCAGCACGGCCATCATGGAAGGGTCCTGTCTGGCAGGGTCGATCCCTCGCTGGAAAAGAGAGAGGGGTGAGGGGAGGCAAGGAGGAAGGGAAAAAGAGAAGAACATAAAAGGTAAATCTACACTCAACGAATCACATTCATAGAACAAAGGTGTTTATTTTGTTGCGCGGGCGTCACTTTGAAAAGCGTGTAACTTGTACTTATTTTGAGGAATTTTCCTTCCAAAGTACATAAACATGTATTTTCAGTTGAAGATTTCTCGTCTTCAGTATTGGATTTACTACTCTCCCTTCATCTTCATAAAAATGTCTGCTGTCTCTGAAATCAGTTTTTGCTCTCAAATGTAATGTGTTTTGAGCTTTTATACTCTCTTCATGTCTGCAACCTTCTCCTCATGCTTGAACGTCCTCCCTCCTCAAGTCAAAGCTGTGTTGTATGGAGAGAGTAAAAGTCCCTGCAATGGGAGGGATGACAAACTGAAAACAACAAAACAAAGTGCTTCTGCTGTAGTCTGTTAATCTGAGATGTAATTAGTGCATATGCAGGTTTTTAAACAGTTGTTTTAATTAGATATTTTTTCTTATAAGTGCACCGTGTGTAACTGTCTGAGGTCAGTAGTAGCTCACCATCACCTGGAGTCCATTGTGAATTACTAATAACATCCTAATAAAGCTAATCATGACAACTGCGTCACTCTACAGTCATTCATCAGCTCGTTACTGAAAACAGGATTTTGTTCTTAATAAGTCACCTTGTTAAATAAAATTTTAACAAATACATTTTACTGGATGGAAGCTGGCAGAGCTATAGCTTTAAACTGCAAGAGAGCAAAAAAATAAATAAAAATCTGCAACCAGGGAGACCAAACTTACGAGTACAACTCAAGAAGGGAGAGGGTTTGAGCGAGAGGAAAAAGATGCAACCTTATTTTTATTTTATTTATTTATTTTGGGTTGAAAACAGAGTTTAAGTGGAAGCAATACATCATCTGAGACTGAAATAATCTTCCTCTTCAACTGAAAATGTAGCATTGGAGGGCAAATTCTTCAATAGGGATACAAATGTACAGAAGACGATTAGGGCCACTGGAAAAATTTTGTTTTTTAAATTCGGACTGTTTTTTTTCTCAGAATTCTGAGATGAAAGTCAGACTTTTTTTTTTTTTCTTTAAGTGGCCCTAATCATCTTCCATAAAAACATGCTAGGAAACAAATAGGTATTTTCTGCCTTGGGAAAAACTGGCACAAAAACTACTCTTGATGTCTAATTTGATGTATTCAGATGTGTCATCAAGTGTTATTGTTGCCTCTTCTCCACAACCATGAAAAAAATTAATGTCTGCTGCTGGCTCAATAATTGTTTACATGACATATGTCAACATCATGAGTTAAATATTATTTAAAGACGAATAACATATATTTGTAGGGTATTTTAACCACATTAGAGATAAGAGACAAAAAGAAAGCCCTTTTTTTTATAATGGCTACAACCCCTAAAGTACTGCCAACAATTCTAGTTAGGCATGAGCTGGTTAAGAATACTATGGTATACGAAGACAAAAAAGAAAGATTAAAAAAAAAAAAAAGAAAAATGATGTAAAGATGCGTAAATGCTGTGGTGTTGTGCTATTTCCTGCGCATACTGCTCTCATCTCATACCAGCCCATGCCTAACACTGGAACACTTGCAACTCAGCTATTCATTTCCAAATTCTTGAGTTTTTCTTGACTCAAATAACTGTCTTCATTTGCTTGTGCAAATAATCAAACAAGCAAATTAATAATATCTGGTAATGCTCTCATGTTGGAAGTTCTGTATTTTAGTTATAGAGCAGACTTCTGGGTCATGTACCTGTATGGAACAGTTTGGTCCAGTGAAGAGAGCCTTATAAGCAGATGCGGCCACAGAAAGGGCCCCTTTGACAAGTCCCTCTGTGATGCCTCCTTGGCCCCTGGTGCAAACACAGTCACACTCACTGATTATACTAATTACATCTCAGGTTAACAGACTAAATTCTGTTGCAGTGCAGCATGAAAGAAAGAAAAAAGGAAAGAGACTAGAGCACAGAAATTGTAGCATAAGAAGTTTTACTCTGCTGTTTTGCACCTTGGCTGCAGCGCTTTGCCCGCTCTCGGATTGTACGCCTCAAAGGCACTGCATGCTGAGCCGGCTGATCTGGACAGACCGGATGATACTAGAAAAGGAAATAACAACCCACAAAAAAAAAAATTCTGATTAGATGAGGAACATGAGGGAGGTTTCTTTTGTCTCTGTTGAAGCAACAAATCCTGAAAACCTTCGTGCTGCATTGGTTCCTCTTTTCCTGTAGTGGTCATAATGTGTTTCCTGAGTTGGCTTAGCTTCCTTCTAAAACTGAGGAACAGCTAAGTCATGTAAACACAATGAGTCTAACCAGCAGACTGAGTGGCAACGGTAAAGGTAAACTGTCTGGTTTTACAGTGATAAATATGCCGCCTCTTAGATTTATGTGCCAGCCCATGTAGTATATCTGTAATGTGGTGAGGTCCAGTCACCATGATGGTTAAACTCACCATTTAGGTGAACCCGTGGTTGTTGCGGCTCGTACGGTTCACAGGCTGGAGGACTGGGATCCCCGGCTAGATACAGCGCCTCCGATCTGAAACATAGACAGAAATGTAACCATTTGAGGCGGTGCTTCGGTGTGGCAACCATCTTTCGTTTCAATAATAAGAGTTAAAGACTCTAAGTCCCGACTGGTCCCAGTCTAACCTGGGTGAGTAGATGACCGGTG